AGTAATAGTTGGTCGATTATGATAAAGCGAGTTTACTTCGTCATTGAAGATAATGCGGTGATTCAGGTGATTTGGTTGTGCCCACACATGGATTGCATAATTTAGTGTTGAAACTTGTATTTTGTATGATAAAGGAGGAATACCAGCATCGCAATATATAGATGTTACGGGGCTTGTCCTGAAAGCTCCTATGCATAGTCGGATTCCCTGGTTATGGACCTTTTCTAAGATTCTGATGTGTGACTTCCTTGCTGCGGCGAACAAAGACATTCCGTATTCCATTTTAGATAGAACCAATGTTTTGTAGAGGGTTAAAAGTACTTCTCTGTCTGCTCCCCATGATATATTCGATAAGCATCTTATAATATTTGTGGCTCTTTTGCATCTGGTAGCTAGGTCCTGTATGTGTTCCTTCCAGTATAGTTTTTTGTCGAAAATTAGCCCAAGTATTCTAATACTATCGCAGTATCGTATTGGGGTCTCTTTCAGTGTCAATATCGGATCGTCGTGTGACCTTCGTAGTCGACAAAAGTGGATACAAGCTGTTTTAGAGGTGGAAAATTTAAAGCCCATGTTTTCAGCAGAGGTAGCAATCTGGTCAATAGCCCTTTGAAGTGTGTCTTTCAAGTGTTCTAGATCGACGGACGAATAGAATATGGTCATATCGTCTACGTATAGGCAACTGCCAACTTCGGGGTCTACTACTTCCAACAAGCGGTTAATTGCTACTAAGAATAAAGTAACGCTCAGGGTTGAACCCTGAGGTATTCCATTCTCTTGTGTTCGGCTGGTTGAAAAAATATTTCCAGCCCGAACCCTGAAATAACGGTCCTGCATGAAATTATGGATAAATTTTATTAATTCCCCACGTAGGCCCCAATGGTACAGCGTGTCAATGATTCCACGCCTCCACGTAGTGTCGTAGGCCTTTTCAATATCGAAGCATACGGCAATCAGGTGCTTACGTTCGGCAAATGCAAGTTGGACAGCCGTATCTAAGTAGACCAATTGGTCAATGGTAGATCTATATTTGCGAAACCCAGATTGGTGGTTGGAAATCTTGTTATTAACCTCCAGCCACCACACAAGCCTTTTATTTATCATTTTCTCAAATAATTTACTAATACAGCTAGTAAGAGAGATCGGTCGGTAGTTGTTTGCATACTTGGGATCTTTACCTACTTTGTGAATAGCGATTACAATTGCTTCCCTCCATTGGGTTGGTAGTGCCCCCTCGGACCAAATCTTATTGTATAGTAGCAGTAACCCATTTTTTTCTGTTTCAGGTAAGTTTCGAAGCATTTCGTAGTTAACCGAATCAGGGCCAGGCGCTGAATTACGTAATTCTTCCAGCGCGTCCGTCATTTCGGTGGATGAGAAAGGTAAATTGTAGTCTGATTTTACTGATTCTTGAAAATTCAATTCTACAGCTTCAACTGTTGTTTTCGTTTCTATGAAGTGTGGTTCATAATTTTGCGTGCTACTGGATTCCTGGAAGTGGGATGCTAGAGCATTGGGTATATCGATAGGATCTGTGACTTCGGTATTATTTACAATTAGTATATTTGGGGGTTTTGGTAATGTTTGCCTGCAATGGATCTAATTTTACTCCATATTTCATTTGAGGGTGTGTCTTTCGTTATACCAGAAACGTATTGCTCCCAAGATGATTTTTTATTATTTAAAATTAACCTGCGTGCTTTGGCTCTTTGTTTCTTAAAAGCTACCATATTTTCCATAGTTGGGTTTCTTCTAAAAATCCTCAGTAACTCTTTTTTCTCTTCGAGAGCCTGGTATAGCTCATTGCTCCACCATGGCACAGTGCGTCTTCTATTAGAGTTTTGTCTCTTAGGGATACTAGCAATGGCTGCGTTGACGATGGATTCTGTTACTGACCTTGTTGACTCATCAACGTCATTGTTGATTTCGAAAGGAACAATTTTACTCCGGTATAAGTTCCAGTTCGCCTTGTTCATTTGCCAGGTGGGGTGAATGGAGCTTTGAGGAAGATCACCTGCTATCTTGATGCATATAGGTAGGTGGTCGGAGTGTAAGTGGTCCTCGAGAATGTTCCATGTCAGCAAGTGTGCGATATTTGAGCTACACAAAGATAAATCAATGCAAGAGAAGTTTTGGGATCGAGCGTTGAAGAAGGTTCCTTCTCCTGTATTTAGAAGAACGAGCCCTAACTCGTTTATGATCTCTTCTATTCTCTGCCCTCGAGGGTCTAAGGATTGTGATCCCCACAAGGGGTTATGCGCATTGAAATCGCCAACTACAACAAAGGAGAGGGCAGTTGCATAAATATATCTATCATTTGGTTATAGCTCCAATTTCCATCTGGTAAATAGATATTACAGATTGTAATTTTATTTGGCACCATTGTACGAACTGCAACTGCCTGGAGTGGGGTATTTAAAGGTATTTCTCTAGGGTGTAATGTTTTTTTCATGAAGGTAGCTACTCCACCTCTCGAACGATGTGTTGGGATGACATCTTTCCGGAAGCAGTCAAAGCCTCGCAGGTTGAAATTACTTTCAGGAGCGAAATGTGTCTCCTGGACACAAATACAGGTAGGTGCCTTTTCTGTGATTATCATTTTAAGTTCTGGATAACGATTTATACATCCATTCATGTTCCACTGTATTAAAGTGGTCATTGTTAAGTAATTTTTAATAAAGGTTTTACACAGAATTACCCACAGACTTTATACACTAGTAATAAATTAGTATAAAATAAAATTTAGGAAAAAAAAAGTATATACGTGCACAGGTAAATAAATATTATAAAATAGAGTTTAATATACAATTATCACAGAATTCTTATCACTTATGGAGATCTTCTACATTTTGTTCGTCTGGACCCTTGGGCGAGCTAGGGTCCACCAAGCTCTCCCGGGAGTCCTCCCTCGACCTGGTATTTCTTGGCTTGCCTTTCGGCCAGCCTCGTTTCTTCTTTTTGCTCTCAGCACCAGCGCTCGCGAGTGAGCTGTCGGTATCAGGATCGTTTTCTTTATAGTTGACGAAATCTCTTTTCCTTTTTTCGCTAAAAGTTGTGGATGTATCTGAAACCGCTGATACATCCATCTCTTTATTTCGTGTTAAGTGTGCTGGGACTAGGGGTCGTCTGAAGATTACCGGCGTTGTATTTGGTGGCTGAAGTTTCTTAAACTGTTCCTCAATAACTTTCTTGATTAGGGGAACTATCTCATCCATAACAGTTTTTGTGGATTCAGCTTGTTTAGCAGCTACTTGTGCATATGAAACCCTTGGCGTCTGATTCATCACTTTTCGCTTGGCTTCCGCGTAACTCAAAGATTCTAGAGTTTTTGTTCTTTGGATTAGCATTTCTTCCTTGAATTTAGCGCAATTTCTATACCGGGATGAGTGTTCTGAGCCGCAATTAACACATATCTTGGGCTCTGGGCATGGTCCGGTGTGAGGGGCTATACCGCAAACACAAATTTCATCATTCGGACATGATGTCGATAAGTGCCCATATCGCTGGCACTTAAAACACTGCATGGGGTTCGGCACATATGGGCGGACTTCTAGTGCGTAAAAGGCTGCTTTAATTTTCCGTGGTACTTGGGATCTATTGAATGTTAATATTAGGCTTGACGTCTCAATAAATTTGTCGTCTTTCCTTTTATATATCCGTTTCACCTCGACGACTCCTTCATTTTCAAGTTCCGTTAAGATTTCTTGGATGGAGCAGTTTAATAAATCTGAACATGTGATCACACCTTTGCAAAAGTTTAACGTTCTGTGTGGTTTAACTCTAACAATATGTGGTCCAAGTCGTTCCATTTTCATCAGTCGCTTCGCCTGTGGGTCGGTTGCCGCTTCTAAAATCAATCCTTCTTTCGATTTCTTTATATTTTTTAAATTTCCTACGACTCCTTGCAATTGCTTTGCAATGAGGAAGGGGCTCACTTTACTGAAGTTTTCCCCATCCAACCTTTCCATTACTAGGAACCGAGGGACATGTCCCGCCTTTTCCCAGTTAAACGGATCCTCTCTCCTTGCGGTTTCTCTCCAAGGGGCAGATTCACCTGCTCTTACCGCGTCACATGTTAAGTTGCCCCCCCCAGAATCCGTGGGGCTTTTTATACTACAGGATTCTGAGCTCTCCTGAACTCTACCTGCCTGGGGTACCACTCCTTGTGCGTTGCTTAACATGACCATAATTCCCCTGTGTCGTAGGGGATACACGCCTCTTTAACGTGGAAGACACGGGGCCGTTAGGGACACACTTATGTAGTGCCATCCATCCCCTCAGCACGGCCAACACCTTGGGATTACCGGGCGAAGTGGGGGGCAAGGAGAGAAGGTATGGAAATGACAAGGATGGGTTATGGGTCTACTCGAGCCGACGTGGGGCTGAGAAAAAGGCCGAGGAGTCGGCATATGCCGCCCCCTCCACCAGTCCCACGCCGACCCGAGTGTAAAAAGGATGAAGGTAGTGGACAGATGGTCGGGCGCCGGCTGTACGGTCTTCGACACTACCGTAGCAACAGGACACCACCAGGCGCAGCGACGCTACGAAGGTGGTAATCCTACGGCATGTTCCAGCAACAATCCTGCTAGGTAACGCACAGGAATGCTACAGGAAGACACCGATAGTTGGCCGGACGGCCTATTTTATTATTATTATTATTATTATTATATTTTATTATTTTTATTATTATAATTATTATTATTATTATTATATTATATTATTATTTTTAAATAGCCGTAGGGCTTTGTTACTCCCGTTAATCGGGTGTTCTGGCTTAACCCGGACGCTTCAAGCATCAAAGGGGTAAGCCTCAATAGTGACCTCCCTAGGTACTTGCATTTCCCATAAATTTTCTTACTATGCGGGCAGTTGCCAGCAAAACTCCTTTCTGTATGATTTTGTAAATGTTTTCACTCAGTTCCAGCGCTTTGATGTTTTCTAGCAGCCTTCTTGGTATCACCCCTGTAGATGACATTATTATTGGTATTGTTTCCACGTACTTCATTTTCCACTGGCGTTTAATTTGAAATTCTAGCTCCCTGTATTTTGCAACTTTCTCATTATGTTTGTATGTTAAATTGTTACTATTAGGTATGGCCACATCAATCAGTGTTACTTTCTGGGCGTCCTTGTCGACAATGATTATGTCAGGTCTGTTTTGTTTTATGTATTGGTCCGTAAGCACAGTGCGATCCCAGTATAGTTTATACTTGTCGTTCTCGAGGACACATTGCGGTGTATATTTGTAGTACTGTAGCTTGCATTCGATCAGTTTGAATTTGTATGCCAACTCCTGGTGAATGATTTTGGCAGCTATGTCGTGGCGCTCCTTATAGTCCGTTGGAGCGAATGCTTGGCATCCACCAGTTACGTGCTGTATTGTTTCGGAGTCCTGACAGCCGTACCTGCATTTATCAGACTGTTGCAAGTTCTTAAGTATGAACCTCTTGTAATTGTTGGTAGGAATGACCTGGTCCTGTATAGCTACAAGGAATCCCTCAGTCTCAGGGAACATTTGGCCTGAGGTAAGCCAATAGTTTGACGCTTTCTTGTCAACGTTTTCTTGGCTAATCTCGTTGGCATGTCTCCCATGTAGAGGTTTTTCAATCCATCGTTGTAGCTTCTGTTCGTTGGTTTGGTGACTCGGTTGGTCATCTCGTCTACTAAGGTGTAAGGGCGTTGTGTCATCTATTGAGCATATGATGCGATGCAGCTCAGAGATCTCGGCCTTCTCAAAGAAGTAGGATCGCAAGGCGAGTACCTGTTGAGCTAGCTGCTTGCTGATGTCCATTAGACCTCTTCCTCCTAACTGTCGGGGTAAGGTTGTGCGCTCTATTGCACTGCGAGGATGGTGCGCTCCTTTTTTTGTTAGCATAGTCCTTACCCGCCTCTCTAGTTTCTCGATGTCAGTTTTACTCCACAGAACTATACCGAACGAGTAGTTCAAGGCAGAGCATGTAGGTGTTAATCGCCTTGACTAGATTCTTACTATTGAGTTCTGTTTTCAGAAGTAGCCGTATTCTTTTGTGAAGGTCTGCGATATAGCTTCCTTCATTTTTTTATGGTCTATCCTTCGGGCCTGCGCCATTCCAAGGTACTTGTATGTGTCATTTGCGTCCATTGCGTCAATGTTTTGGCCTCTGCAGCTTGAAAATCCTCCAGGGTAGATGTTCCCCCTACGTATAGATAAGGTTTTGCATTTATCCATCCCAAATCGCATACTTATGTCATCTGAGAACTGACCGACTATCTCTAGCAGCTGTTTCATTTGATTCTCAGTAGCAGCTATTACCTTTAGGTCGTCCATATACAGCAAGTGGTTCAGTTTTATGGATGCGTTCCTGTTATCTTTCAGACTATATCCATACCCTGTTGCATTTAAGAGGTTTGAGAGGGGATTTATAGCTAGGCAAAACCATAGGGGACTTAATGAATCACCCTGAAAGAGACCTCTTCGGATAGAGATCGTTCTCAGTTTGAATGGTGCTGGTCCCGTTTGTATGCAGTGTTATTCTGGTTCTCCAGGTCTTCAGCATATGTTCTAATAGGGCCACTACATGCTCATCTACCTTATAGAGCCTCAGCACCCTGACAAGCCACTCATGAGGTACAGAATCGTATGCCTTCTGATAGTCGATGTACGTAATGTATAGGTTCCTTTGTTGGTATAGGCTTGGTTACAGATGACTGAGTCGATAGCCAGCTGTTCTTTGCATCCCATAGCTCCCTTAGCACAGCCTTTTTGTTGTGGCGCAATAATATCGTTTTCTTCACAATGAGCATAAATTCGCTTCGATATACAAGCAGTGACCACCTTGTATAGCGTAGGAAGGCAGGTAATTGGGCGGTATTTTGCTGGGTCTTCTGTATTATTGTGATCTTTTGGTATTAATACCGTTAGCCCTTGTGTTAGGAACGTTGGAGTCTTATTTGGATTCAAAAGCATGTCATTGATATATCTTGTTAGTTGTTCATGCATGCACCAAAGCTTCTTTATCCAGTAGCCATGAATCTGGTCTGGGCCCGGGGCCTTCCAATTATGCAACTGCTTAACGATATCCACGATTTCTTGTTTGGTATATGCCCTATACTGCATGGGATTGCAATAATGGCTCTTCGCTTCTTCATCTGTAATCCATCCTGCACACTTGTTGTAATAAGCTGTCGAGCCAAACTGCTTGCCCCAAAATTCCTCTACTTGGTCCTTTGTGGGCACCGTTTTGCTCTTTTCCTGGGGTTCGGATGACAGTTTCCTGTAGAATGCCTTTTCGGATCGTTGAAAGAGCGCATTGTCGTGCTTTCTGTGACTGGACGCTTTATACCTTTTCAATCGCTGAGTATATACGGACAGTTTTTGCTTCAAGGTATCAAGGCATTGCCACTCGTTGATGTTAGTTGCGTCTTGGTGAGAATGATGGTGGAGTCGTTGCATTATTTCCATAGCTTGCTTCGGACTTTTCGAGTTGTTATTCCTCGTGTGAATTGGGTAAGACGTCCGATATCTCTGCGAATTTCTGCCGTTCTTCTTTCCAGACGTTTTTCCCATTTTGGTGTTATTGGTTTTACTGAATTTTCAGTAATCTTTTGAGTTGGCATTTTGACACCAAGTGTTCTTACTGTTGCAACAGCTGCACAGTATATCAGTGTGTGAAGTTGTTCTATACAGTTGGAGTGTGCTAGATACTCTGGCAGGATCTGTTTATTTAACTGACACAATACCACAGCAAGCTTTCTAGATGACTTCAACTTTGGTAATGGTGGTCTTTCTAGCGGGTTCGTTCCATCAAATTCGGCATATGCTCTACCCATTTCAGTTTTTATACCAAATATTTCTGTGTCTTGATCATTACTGTCGTCAACTCCAGGCTGTTCACTTTCTATCTGTTCTTGCTCAGATTGACCATTATCGCGTATTTCGTTATTACTCCCTTCTTGTTGCATAGAGATCAAGCTGCACTTCCTGTTTGATGGCATTCAGCCGTGGTTGTGGGATAAGATTTTTTTGATTATCACTCGATATTGGTCTGCCACTCTCTGCTGAGATACTTTGATCTCCGGATATTCACTACGAAAGCGGTATGAAGTCGTGGTCTGTAGCCGATTGTTTCTCTACCTAGGTTGGTAACAGTCCCACGCCGACCCGAGTGTAAAAAGGATGAAGGTAGTGGACAGATGGTCGGGCGCCGGCTGTACGGTCTTCGACACTACCGTAGCAAGAGGACACCACCAGGCGCAGCGACGCTACGAAGGTGGTAATCCTACGGCATGTTCCAGCAACAATCCTGCTAGGTAACGCACAGGAATGCTACAGGAAGACACCGATAGTTGGCCGGACGGCCTATTATTATTATTTATTATTATTATGATATATTATTATTATTATTATTATATAACTATTAGTATATTATTTATAATTATTATTATTATAGTATTATTATTTAGTATTATTATTATTTTATTATTATTTACTATTATTATGATTCTTATTATTATAATAATTATATTATTATTATAATTATGATTATTATTATTATTTATTATTATTATTATATTATTATTATTATGATTATTATTATGATTATATTATTATAACTATATTATTATAATTATTATATTATTATTTATTATTATCATAATTATTATTATTATTATTATGATTATTATTATTATTATTAACTATTATTATTATTATTATAATTATAATGATTATGATTATGATTATTATATAATTATTATTATTATGATTATTATTATATTATAATTATTATTATTATTAATTATTATTATTATAACTATTATTATTATTATAATTATTATTATTATAGCTATTATTATTATTTTTATGATTATTATTATTATAACTATCATTATTATTATTATTATTATAATTATAATTATTATTATTATTATAATAATAATATAGTTATTATTATTATAATTATAATTATTATTATTATTTTATTATTATTATAA